TGTCTTCTTCGAGAACTGGGCCTTTGCCGGCCCTTCTCCCCCTATCCTGGTCCAGGTCGATCCCGGACCCTTCTTCGGCTGACTTGGCGTCGCCCCCAATCGAGGAGAGCGGACCTATCTGGTTTCCCAGCATGTGGTCGTCCCTCCGGTTGGGGACATCCGGTCCGGCGTCTGAGTTGGGCATCACCGTCTCCAGCCCTGCGCCAGCTGGGGCGGCATTCGAAATGGTCGAAGGGCGCGAACCTGTTTGGTTTCCCAGCATGCGGTTTGCCCCTAGGGTCACCGTGTTCCAGCCCGGCGCCTGAGGTCTCGGCGGGATGACTTACCGTACTTATCTCGTTTATCTCGGCGTGGGGAATGGTCAATACGCAATCCCGCGCCTCCTTCTGGTCCCCGTGGTGTGTACCCTCCCCGTCTGAGGTTGGGAATTTTAACGAATAGTGGAATATGGAGACTGCAACCTTTAACTTGTAAAGCGCCGTTCTGCCCAGGATGACGTTGCACTCACTTGGGCAGTCCACGATCTTGAAGGTTTCTAGGATTGTCTTCGTGGGCTGCCCCTTTTCCCCAAACCGGATTGGCAACGTGACTTGGCCTACGGGGGCGGTGGTCTGTCCGTTGAAGCCCTGGATCTGCTCGCGGCAGGGTTACACCTCCTTCCCGTCAATCCCCATCTTCTTGAAGGTGTCATAATAGAGTATGCTCGCGTAGGCCCCAGTGTCGACCATGATACGATGGATCTTTATCGACATGATCGGAGCCGTGATCACCAGGGCGTCGGAGTGGGGATGGTCGAACAGGAAGGCGTCCTCGTCGGTAAAGGAGATGGTGTTTGGGATCGGCTCCGGCGCCGGCCTGTGGCTGGCGTGCATCACCCTTTGCCCGGCGTAATGGGCCCTCCGTGCGTAGGCCTTGGTCTGTCTCCTGGAGAGGAGGGACTCCCCCCGGCTTGTGTTGACGCGCCGGGTCGGGTAGTTGATCTGGTCGGCTCCAGTGCGTGGGGACCGGTCTCTCTTTCTGCCCCTAGAGATGTCGGCCTCATTCTGATGGGCGGGACAGAAAGTCATGATCTCTTGGGGGGCACCCTACTGTGGCTTCTTCCTCCTGGGGTTGACATCGGCGTCGTCATCACTGTCGAGGCCTTCCTCATAACGTCCCCCTTTTTTCCTTTTCTCCCCAGAGTGTGTGAATCTCTTCATCTGCGGGTCGTCGATCAATTTGAGAAGTGCTGAGATTAAATTTCGGCATTGATCAGTGTTGTGCCCATGCGCCTTGTGGTAGGTGCAGTAGCGGGTCTTGTCTACCTTGTCCTTGTCGGTGAACATTGGTTTGGGGTCCGGTAGTAACCCCTTCGCCATAATTTCTTCATAAACCGCTGCGGCTCCCACCGAGAAGACGCTTTGGTAGCTCTCCTTCAACTCCTCGGCTCTCTGTTTCCGTTGAGCTCGGATTTCAGCGAACGATTTGCTCGGCTTCCCCGATTTTTCTTCCTTGGCCTTTGCCTTCGCCGGTGCCGGCGCGGCATCGAACGTCGGGATGGACGAGGATTCCTCCGCCATGATGTAATCCTGAGCGCGGGTGAGGAACTCCTGGTAGGTGGCCGGCTTGTTCTGACACAGGGACCATCTAAATAACGTCTTCGGTCTGAGGCCGCCCTGGGCTGTGATCAGTAGGGCGTCGGGGTGGCATCGCTCTATGTTTTGGACTCGGTCGTTGAACCGAGCGATGTAGTCCTTCAGGCTCTCGTTCTCGCCCTGAATGATGTTGGAGATGGATTCCTTGGGGGCGAGGTTGACCTGCGATCCGATAAAGTGTGACCGAAATGCCGACCTGAGCTGCGCCCAGGTGAAGATGGAATGGGGGTAAAGAGAGTGGTACCACCTCTGCGCCTTCGGCCCCAGCGTTAGGGAGAACATGCGACAGCGCAAGGCGTCAGAAGCGCCGTGCAGGTCCATCCAAGAAGTGTAGAGGCCGATATGAAAATCGGGGTCCGAACTTCCGTCATAGAGGCCGAGCTGGGGTACTTGTATCTTCTTCGGGACGGCTTCTTGTAGGATGTCGGGAGAAAGAGGTGAAGCATTGTCCATGACTCGGGGGGTCGGCCGTGTGCTAGGTTGCGGATAAGCAGGGAGTGACAGCTCACTCCCGGCGGGGTGCCGACCTTCCAACTCGGCGAGTCTGCGTTTCAGGGCCGCGACTTCATTAGTGTCGTGTCCTATGGCTTTGCCTCGCCTGATGACTTCCCGGAGGTCGCGATTGGCCTGGCTTTTGTCACCCAGGCATTGGTGAACGAAATGGCGGACAACCTGGAGGCTTTGCTCCGGGCGGCTCTCCCCCGTCTGTTCGGTTGGAGCTGGCCTGGTACTCTGGTCATGGCGATTATGGGCTCCGCGGTTCGGTGATTGAGCCGTGGTTTTGGATTTCGCCGGGTTTTTCTGCCCGCCGGCCTCCTTTTTGGGAGTATGGAGCAGAGTGTTACCGGGATTTTCAGTGGGTACCATGGTGTTTGTCCCGGCCGCCTGGCTGGCGAGAGCCTTCGCGAAGACCCCCTCGAGAGCTTTGAGGACATCGGGGTGTTGCATGACCTCGGCGAAGGTAGGAACTGGCGGGACAGGGACTATGGGTCCCTACTGAGCGCGCCGGGAGGTCTCCCCGCCGGTGCGTCTGCGCGGCTGGGAGCCGGATTGTTGGGTGGAGTCTTCGTGGCCGGATGAAAGCATTTTGAATAGTTTTTGGAAGTGAGGAAAATGGGAAAAGAAACGCGATGTGGGGTCTCACAAAGTCGAAAAATTGACACCAAGTAAATTATGGTGCCCTTCTTCTAGCGCTAAACTGTTGACGGGCGTTTCCGGTCAACGGTTAAAAAAGGTAAATAATGAGAAAAGAACGAGAAAAAGACAAGGAAAGACGGTTTAATTACGATTTTATTAATAAGTCGCGAGGTCGGCCTCTCGTACGAGGTCGGCACTTGCAATATCCTTACAAATTCTTACAAGATGTTTACACGGGTTAGAGAGAGAGTCTGAAGGTTGGGATTTCAACAACCCAAAATTAAATGAAGTGGGTTGCTATTTATAGTGGCTTTAAATGTGGCACTGTTCAGGCACTGTTCACCGGTCCCATCGTACAGTATCCTTGCAGAGCTATCCGGCGCCTCCCTGACAGAATTCAATGCGATTTGAGGTTTTCCTCATCATTACTTGGCAGTCATTTAATGCACACATGGGGGTCATTAAATGCTGGCAGACTTTATGTCTTGGCTAGTGGATGTAGACTTGCAGGCTAGAACGCCCCGTCCAATCATCAATGATTGCCCTCCAAGTGGCATTACTATATTCTTATCGAGATCGGCATCCGTCAGGGGAGATCCGTTCTGAAACCTCAGGTCGGCTCTTGTTTGCATTTTGCTCCTTCGGCCCCGAGGAACTTCCCTCCAGCTCGCCACTCACCAGGTCGGCATCTGCACTTCAATTACCGTAAACGCCGGGCTAAAGGATGGACCCGCAAGGGCGTCACGGCCAAAATGTTCTGGAGTTCAGCTCGGCACCTCGGCACTCGACCGGGTCTTCGGTCCAGTTCTTTTTGGGAGCGAACTCGGATTTCAACAAGTGGCTAGACCAGTATGGTCATCGGTACGGTATTTAAAACACTGCTTGTAACATATGGGTTTGAATCCCACCAGTTTCTAACATTTTCTTTCATATGAAGTTCTAAATATGTTTTTAGTGTTCTTAGATCTTCAAATGCTTCTCTGTTAATTTGCATTACTACTAACATATAGTTATACCAACCTTTTATTGTTTCAACTAGTTTTGTCAAACAATCTAGATTGAGTATGTTATCACTGTGATTATTATAATTATCTTTAGTAATAAGTTCTTTCGGTATATAATTCTTTGTTTTATTTTTCTTCTAAGGTTTTGCCTTACTTCTATTCATATTCATCATTCCTAGAATATTTATTTCTGGGAATGTTTTTTCTTCATAGATACTCCAAAGTACCTATCTGCATTTGGATTATAAAATTCATCATTCGTATATTCTTCATGAGTCATAAACACATGAATGTCACGATAGTTACTTGGTCCTGGAGGAATATCCTTAAGATCGTCTTCAATTTTAACATTTATACGATTTTTTGGTTCTAGACTTTCACTTTCTGAACTAGAGTCGCTGTAACTTCCGATAAATTTTTTTAAAGATAATATATTATGATATTTGTCTAATAGAGATTAAATATCAATTTCACTTTGAATAGAATCAGTGCCACTATTCATTTTTCTTCAAGTAATTTGTTCCTTCCAATTTTTAAACAGATTACTAAGATACAATTCATTTGGTGGTCTATATGTAGTTATAGACTTCTTTTCTTTAAAATATTGTAAAAATCTTTCTATTTCTAATAGTTTGGCATCCTGATTACTAGAACCAGGCTGCTGTATATTATGTTTTATTCTTAGAACAACTTCTTTTATTTCACTAACTATTGTTAAGATCTGCTGCACATTTCCTACTTCCGGAGTTTTAGACATTTAATCCTAATTCTTTTCCAATTTGATTTACAAGTAAAATTACTTTACTTAGATTTTCAATTAACGGTTCAATTTGTGGAATTTTCTCATCTAATTTTATTAAAGTTTCTTCTAACTTATTTATGTTTATTTTGTTAATATTTTTATTGATTTTATCAGCTTTTGCTGCAATATCAAGGATTTCTAAGAGTAGAACTCGTTTTTTCAAGTCTTTCAAGAATTAACTCTTGACTATTTCGGATTTTTTCAATATTTTTCCAAAGAAGAATATTATTTATCCTGTTCATTTTCTAAAAATTTGGAACATAAACATTTTTGGCTTATTTTTTTTATGAATTTTTATAATTTTTTCCCAAAAGTTAGGATGTAAGGGTATAAATGTCTTTTATCTTTTGGTTTATGGAGTTTTGAATTATTTTTTATGAGAATTTGTGGATCAAGGGTTATTTGAACAAACTGCTTTGATAAGGAGTGAACAAATTGGTTAGGTGGAAGGGTTATCTCAACTCATTTCCTCTTATATGTTCTCTCCATTCACTCTATTCTTCTCGGAACCCTACGATTAAGCCATAGGTCGGATCATCTTCTCGATCCCGCCTTTTCCATTTCCTTTTGCAGTTGCTGTAATCATCTTCTCTGAGATCTGCCTACCGGCGCACCCCTTTATTCCTTCATAAATCTCAGTAGTTAGAACGCTTGTTTGTAACTTTTCCTTTCTGGTTTTGTTGTTGGTTTTTTACTTGTTTTGCAGTGATAGAACTTGAAAGGCGTGGTGATGCTAGGTGTTATAAGGCGGAAATCGGCTTCCGGCGCCAAGGTTGTCCCCTCTTTACTTGTATTTGTTATTGCGTATGCTCATGCGCTATGTATGTGTTGTGCGTGTATTTGCATATAGCTCAAACTATCAGTGACGTGTGTGCTGAAACTGATTATGGTTATCCTTTCAATTAGGTTTACAAGAAATCGTTGTCTAAGCTCAAACCTACAGTATCTACACCACGAGCATGCGCAGCTGCTCCAGAAGAGGTAAAGTGGACATTTGTTTTTGTTCTAGATTTCAGGTGGCATCTACAATACACACACACACTCTTTTACTTTCTATTTGTGGAGGAAGTCCTGTCAATAGAAGTAATCATAATGCTGTTGTATTGCATGAGACTTTGACTGTTCTGTATGAGAGCTGTAAAGATAAGTGCCACTAGAAATCAATTATGAATTGATCTTATCTGTCCTAATGTCATTTTGACTCTTGGAATTGTGAACAGATCCCGTATTACACGAGGGGCGTTGGCAATGCTCGGGCTTTTTCCGCCATGGCTGGTATGAGTACTCGATTTGTTGTTAAATAGACTACGCTCATTTTCACATGATTCATTGGACAACGTTACCTATTATTTTGTCACAGGACGAACAATGTCTCCGATTCCAAAGAGGTCAGTGACGAATCTACATATGGTTAATGTTTATGCAACTCTTTTGGGTACTTACCTTATGACTTGCAGAGTCTTTGTTCATTGATGGATTTTTAAAGGATGATTTTTATTTTTTATTTTTTTTTTTTTTTTTGAGAACTTCAAGAGTAAGGACTGCTGGAGTGTTATGAAATTTTAACTTTGACTAGCTGATGGTCAATTTTGATTTTGTCTTGTGGTGGCAATTCAAGGATATTGAAATTTATGGACATATCTAATTATATGCGTGGATATGATTCTGCGTGAAGGTTTAGAACTTTATTTAGTTACACAATTTTTTGATGGCATCCTGAAGGGTGCAAGGTGACTGGATTGCATCCTCTATTACTTTTTCTTTTTAGTAAAAGTTCAGTATTAATCTTTGTAACACATGAATAATATTATTTGACTTCTTATTTGAAAGGTTTTTGGGGAAAACCTTCTGTTCTGACTTGTTGGGAAAATTTATCACTCCACTTCTTCGTGATATTTTCAGGAAGTTAGTACATCCTGTACAACAATATTTAAACATGCAAAGTTGGAGCAGGCAATTTAGTTCCAATTCTGGTATGATATTCATCCGTTTTCTACTGATTGTTGGTGATTGAAGAATTTTTTTCAAATTGACCGTCATTTTTTTTCTTTTACAGTTGGAATATAGGTCTTTACAGTTTTAAGTTTGAGTAAACATAAATTTAGAAAATTGCAAATTTAGTTCCACAGGATTGGGCTTATTGCAAATTTGGTCCCACTTGCAAAAATGGTCCTTATTTTGTTTTTTGTTGCAATTTTGGTAGTCAAACCGTTAGTCAAAATGGGAATTGTTTACAACTTGAGACCAATTTTGGAATTTGGCCAATTTTGCGGGATCGATTTTGCAACTTCCTTTTAAAAATTTATTAACTTTAATAATTATTTCACCAAGTTATATTTTCATATTTGAGTCTTACATTTTTTTATAAATTTTGAATTTCTTATTATTTTCTTTACATCAGATCATTTACAATAAAATCATCATACGATACTATATTTTTCTATTTTTTTTTAAATGCAAAACGCAACGGTGAAACTACTTAATTCTTTTGTTAAGATAATATTATGTAAAGAAATGATAATACTTGTTTTTTATTAGTAAATTTTATCTAAATATTATCAATTTTTATATATCATATAATTGTAATAAATATTATTTCATATTTTTATTGTATGCATACTTTCAGTTATATTCAATATTTTAAAAATTGGGCTACATCCTAGACGGCACTCAAGCGCTATATTTTTTGCCTAAGCAACTCTTCTAAGTTCGACCGACTAAGCGCCATCAAGGCGGGTCAGTCGGTCAAACGACTCCTAGGCGCCTTATTTTTTTTTTCAAATGATAATAAAATGGGTTTTAATTTTATAAATTAATTATAAAATTAAAAATAATATTATATTAAAATTAATATAATAGCTTCGGATGTATTATATTTTACATAATCATTGTATTTGATCATATTAAGTAGTATGTTACCTATAATGTAACTTGTAAATTATGTTGAAATGGATGTAAATAAATTTATTAATATTTTATGACTCTGTTTAGGTCTAGACTAATCATTGCCTAAGTGATAAGTGCCTCTGCCTAGCAAAAGTTTAGCGCCTTTCTTTTATAACCTTAACTAGTACATTACTCATGTACTACACGAGTACTTGTTAAGATTTTTTTTTTAAATTAAATATTAATAACAAAAATTATTTTAGTTATTCAATACTTTTTTTAAAAAATATGTTATTATTTATATTTAAAATGACACCGTCACTTACACGTCTTACCATCTTAAATATTAATAGGTAATTTAATTTTATTTATAAATATAAATAAAATTATTTATTTGTTTTTTATGTATAATATAGATATCAAATCAAAGTTCATCAAGACATGATTAATTTGATATATTACATATAGAAAATTAGTTCAAAAAAAATTATTAACTTCTAAATATATTTATAATTTAAGTTAGTAAAGTTGTTATAATTTTAAAAGAAATATGAGGAAAAAGGAAAGAAGGGAAAAAAATTATACCTTATAAACCACGTCTACAATAGGAAATGATATTAAAACATAATTAATGCTCTTAAAAAGGACCATAAATATCTAGTATGGATATTCCAAGCTAGTTACTTTTGGATTGGAAAATTAAAATTCATGTAAGCCAAACTACAAAGCTAAAAAATTTGCCACATATGATTCTCAAGCGTGTGAGCTTGCCACTTAGACTCAGTACATTCGGGAATTATATATTGGGGGGGTTATATTATTATCTGTTTTTTTAAATATCAAATTATATGTAGTTTAATATATAAATTGTTTATCCCCAAATATTTTGTTTTAATTACAAGCAGTATTTTATCACCTTGTTATTAATTTTCTATTATTGCTCCCATTTTCATAGTCGACTTGCTATAACTACGAGATATTTACAACATATTAGTAATGTAGAAAACATAATTAATAATTTTAAAAATTCATGTTGTTTATAATTTTAAATGCATAAATAATTTAAAATGAAGATAATGTGCAATATACTCAATAAAAGAAATAATAAAATTTCTAAAATTTATTCATAATATTTAATGCAAACAAGATTATTCTTGCAATAAAATAATATTTAGAATCAATTTTTTTTGGGACCAAATTTGCAATTTATAATATTCTATGGGACTATTTTTGCAATTTTTTACTTTTGTATGAATCATCTAACGGCCTTTTAGTGTTCCGTTAACTTTTAGCGGTGATGGGACTAAAATTACGACAAAAAAAAGTAAAGGACCATTTTTTCGACCAAATTTGCAACTCATCCAATATTGTGGGACTAGTTTTATAATTTTCTCACTTAAGTTTTTTACATTTGTTATCGCAAGAATAAATTGGATTGCATGTCAATATGTAAAGACAAGGTACATGACTCATGAGTCATATCATCCCTGTCTAATATAGAATTGGAAAAGTTCTTCTCTACCTCTTTATTTCCTTTGGATAATCATTGAAAGTAGGTGTGAGAGAAATCTCTTGCTAACACAGGTTCATCTAGAATCTAGATGATAATTTATGTCGGTGAATGTTATTGTGTAAATCTTTGAGAAATAAATTGCTAGACGAAAATAGTTTTCTTGTGTGTTTTACTGTACCCTATGATCTGCGGACTTGTTCTGTGACATTTCTCCCACTACTGATGAATGCAGATGGTGATTTTTTCGCAGCTGTTGTCCCAGATTTGGGTGAATTGGTATTTTATAGCACGTTAGGTGCATTCTTGAAAAGTATGTTTTTCTCGGCTGTAACCTCCTCGATCACTTCAATAATCATAACCTTTGATTTCAGCCTTGTTTTTTTCCCTAACTGATTGTTGGTTTGAGCAGAACCCGGGGATAGAGTAGAAGTTGATGAGCTAATTGCGGTGGTTAAAGTAGACAAGGTACTCAATATTAATCGACAATATAAAATGTGTTTTATCACCTTTTTTACTGTTCATATAATTGTGAGTTATTGCTCAATTGCATTTGGTGTGTGGAAATAGCTACTTGATGCCTGAGTACAATTTTGCATACTGTGAGTGCGATAGTAGTAGTTTGATATCAGAGCCTTTTATGAATTTGCGGCTGCTGAGTCTTGGGTTGTTTGTTGTGCCAGGGAACAGTTGGAATCACTAGTCCTGAAGCAGGAGTGATTCAGAAGGTAGAATGTAATGAATTAGGCTGGTTATTATGCTACTCTGTTATTAATTTTATAATTAATTATGGAGTTAACATTAATTGACTTTAATATTGATAGTTTATAGTGTGGAAAGGAGATTTTGTAGAACCTGGCACCAGGGTTGCTATCATATCAAGATCTGGTAATTTCTTCTGAAGAAAAACCATCCTCAAAAGCTTCTCAACCATCAACTTCTCCCTCTGAAGAAATAAAGGAGAAACCCACATTACCTATGTTCGGTAAAAGTGAACCCATCAGGCTATATCAGTGTGACGAACCTAACAATCTTGTGGTTTTGAATAACGCCAGCCACAAGAACCCAGTTACCCCCTAAAACTTAATTTTTTTTTTTAATTTCTATCGGGTTCTATGTAATTTATCATTAATAATTTGTTGATGATTATCGATTTCCAATGAACATCCGTGTATTGCACAATTGTTGTGGCACTTCTTGTTAACTTTAAAGTATAACATTTCATTATGAAATTATATGTATACATATAGAAGTATGCTCAAATGAGAATGAGTCACAGCGAAAGAAATAAGAATAAATGTAGGCCTTTAGATCTAACAAATTAATGGTCATGATGGAGTCAAAATTAATAATTAAAGTCAAACTCATTAAGGGTAATTTAGTCATTCAACACTCATTAAGGGTATATTTGCCATTAACAATAAACCTAATCACTAATGGGCCCACCACAATTAGCCTAAATATCTTTCTTTTTCACACACAAACACACACTGAACTCACGCTACACACACAAACACACAGTACACACACTCCACCAATAGTCAACGTCGGTCAGATCCACCGGTTCAATCGTCGGCGACCGAGAGAATTGCCGCCGCAACCATCTCCCGTCACCAGCCGCAGCTGACTCTCGGACTTCCGGCGAAGAGGGCATCCAACACGGCAGAGTAGAAATTGACGGCTCGGTGCCAATTGCGGGTCGTCGTGGGATTATTTTTCAGCGGCAGAGGCAGAGGAAGATGAACGGAGATCTGTGGTCGACGGAGAGTTGGCAGCCGTCGGGTGTCAAGGAAGGAGCGAGAGGCTTCAAGCTCTCCGTCTCAGACGCTGAACGTCGGCAGTGCACGCGGCGGAGAAGGTGACGCGGACAGAGATCGGGCGGCGAGCAGATGGCGACGGTCGGAGGGCGTTGGTTGATTGCTGAGTGACGGGAATTTATTGTGATGCAATTTATTTATTTTTGTTTACGGACTTATCATTGAGAATTGAACAAGTTGGAGGGACTTGGATGTAAATTTTTAATTTTTTTGTATTTTAACGTGTGGCATTCTTGTAATTTATTAAAACTTTAACAACTGCACATTAATGACATAATCAATGCACAATATTGCGGGTTAAGATGCACATTAAAAAATACATCATAATTTTATTAAACTACATATTTTTCACTTTTTATCATTCGGTCGGTTTGGTTGTTTTGGCCGACTACATAATAATGTCGACATACAATTGAAATATTCAAACTTTTAAAAGTAAAAAATAGATAATTAAATCGAACTATAAAATTCGAACCGAAAAAATTTTAGTTCGATCATTCTCGATCAATAGTGTGCAGCCTACTAGACATTAATGTGCAATTTAATAGTCACTAAGGTGCAATTCACACAACCATATTGTGCACCCATTATACAAAAAAAAAAAATATTTTTCATATTATTCGATTATTTTAAAAAAAAATAAAGACGGCATCGAACTGAAACATCCGTGATTTAAGAGCATCTCCAATGGAGATTGTGATGTATAACATGGAGAAAGGGAATTAAATTTTTTTGTCTCCAATGGTTAGTGTTAATCGTAGTGTCATTTGTGATGTGTAAAATTGTAATTGGTTGGAGAAGAAAGATAAATTGAATAAATAATATAATATATTATAGAAGTTGTTTAGAAGGACTTCTACATCTAGAAAGCATTCTAGACATTTTTCAGGCCACGTCAGATTTTTTATGTCATGTGGCAGCAATGGAAAGACCATTGAAGATGCTCTAAGTAAAATACAGATAACCGAATCGAAATATAAAATTTCGGTTATTTCCATTATTTTAAAAAAAAAGTTAAAACCAAACCAAACTATAAAAATAATTTATTTAGTATTTATAAAAAATAAATTATTATTTATACTATAAAAATATATTTAATATTTGTTATTTTATATTATTTTTTAGGTTGAAAATATATATTAATAAATATTAAAATCAATAATGTGCATTTCGTATAATATTATTATGCAGTATATCGAACCCGCGTATGTTTAATGTTCATATTTGTTTACAATTGTGTACAATTATATAACAATATTATGCATTTAATAGATTAGATTTTTTATTTTATAAATTATATACTTACCTCCATGAATTAGACTGCAGTATATTTATTAGTATTCATTCAAAATAATTTATTATTTATACTATAAAATATATTTAGTATTTAATATTTTATACCAATTTAGATTGAAAATATATATTAATAGAATATTAAAATCAATAATGTGCATTCCCGTAGGAAATAATGTACATTTCGTATAACGTTATTGTGCATTCTATTGAACCCGAGTATGTTTAATGTTCATATTTGTTTGCAATTGTGTAAAATTATGTATCAATATTCTTAATAGATTAGATTTTTTTTTTTATAAATTATATATTTACCTCCATGAATTAGAGTGCAATATATTTAGTCTTCTGAAAAATTGCAAATTGGTCCTATAATGTACCTAATTTTCACTAAAATAACCCTAGCCCCCAAATTAGGGATTCATCACCTAACAGCACCCCTTCCGCCACCCCTTCACCCATTACAGCACCACCGGCCACCGAACCGGCTGTTCCATTGCCGGAGCCACTCGATGGTGGTTCGGGGGCCACCGTCAGCCGCGCAAAGTCGCTTGCCACAGCCGAATCTTGTCTGCGGAAGTGCAACAGTGGTTCGGGGGACACCGCCATCCGCACAAGGTCGCTTGCTGGGAAGGACCTCCGCCAGAACTGGAAATCGTGCGACGACGGAGGCGTCGATGAGCTGCGCAGAGGAGGTCTGGTGTGCGGGCCGGCGTCGCGCAGCAGCAATTGGATTACAGTGGAGACGGAGGGCTCGGTCGGCTCTGCGTTGGAGATTGACGGACGATAGCTGGTTCAGGAGTTGGAGCGGCGGCAGACTTGCAGCCGCCGGAGGAGCCGAAAGCTAGCGACGGGAAATTGGGGTCTGTATTTGTGGAGCACGCCGTCGGGAGAGAGTGTGTGTGTGTGCGTGTGTGAGAGAGAAAGAGAGAGAAGATGGAGGTGGTGGGACGTGTAGGTGGTTAGGTGGGGTCCAGGTGGATGGTGGTATTGTGTAAAATATCAGTAATATCGTTAATGAGGCCTCATTTACTTTCATGGACAGGATTAGACAAAATAATACAGCCAACTTTACACGTCATCAATTTGTCTTGTATTTACATTTTGGGATTAAAAACTATCGAACATTTACTTTGTTGGACTAAATTAGAAAATAAGACCTGATGTCCAAATTGCCCTTCTATTCATAAAAAATGCAACACTCCATTAAAATATATTGCTCTCATTCAGCAACAGAAAGTCTGAAACACAACAACCAAGATTCATAATCAAAAGCAAAGCATCCAAAACTCATTTCAAGTAATTAAAGATTAAACATTTCCAAATCAGAGCATCCAAAACAAAGAAATAAACATTTCCAAAATAAACATTACCAATCTTGCAAAGAGACCTATGTTTATTTTCACTGCCGAGAGAGAATTTTCCAAAAGTCATTTCAAGTAAAAATTTGGGGTTGGCTGATGCGGAGAGAGGAAATTGACTGTGAGAACAGAGGAGAAAATGCTTTGGTGACGGGGAGAATTTGTGCGGCGGAGGCAGTGGTTTTGGGGCGGAGAGGAGGAAGAAACCGGTGGTTCTACAGCTTCCAGTCGCAGCCATCTCTCTGTCTGTCGTCGACGGTGCCGGAAAATCAATTTGTTGGATAACTGCAGCCACTGGTTGGGCCTTGGGCTGGGACATGGGAGCTTACAATTCTTGGCCAAATAATCGACGATGAAGATAGCAAAGATCCCTCTGCTCGCGGAATTGCAAGATTAGGGCAAGAGAAACAGTGAAATGCAAATTTATATGGTATAAGATTGTAAATAAATAGATGTTGAGGGGTAATTTTGTCTTTTGATAGCCACTTTTGAGGACAAAACCGTCATATTCAGATTGGGATTAAAATATCCGGTGGGGGAGGTGGGATGAATTAATCCGCCAATAAATGATATGCATGTGGGTCCCACTGCCACATGTACGCCACATCAGTTGAGTCCTATCCCAATCTCATAATGTAAACGTCAGATATTGAGGGACAATTTTAGTTATCCTGTCCTATCCCAATCTCATAATATAAGAGTTGTTTTTTTATATCCGTTGGATTATTCGATCCGATGGATACGATGTTTTCTTATTTCTTTCATTGAGCACCATTCTCACCGGAGTGCATCTATATATATATATATAGGGATGCGCATCAGTGAGAATGTTGTTCAATGAAAGAAATAAGAATACATCACATCCATCCAATCGACAAATCCAACGGCTAAAAAAATATTCAGTTTTCACATTCATTAAGGGTAAGCTAGTCATTACACCATACCCAATCAATTAACAACCCGTTTGCCCCAACAAAGCCTCACCCACCCTCAACTCTCTCTCACACACATAACACACACCTTTTTTTCCACTAACACACACACATCACAAACAAAATATATACCTCCACGCACAAAGGGTAAGCTGCTCAGCTGCCGTCTACCGTCGGTCCGCTGCCCGCACATACCGATCCCGCCGCTCGCACACGTTGGTCCCGCCGTTGTCGACTTACTTCTCCGTCGCCGTTTTATTTGTGCTCCACCTCCTCCGTCATCCCCTCAGCCTCGTCGGAGACCGACACCGCACAACCACGACTCGACACGACATCATTTACAGTCTCCGAACTCGGGCGCCGACCGTGTTAGCTGCGGCCTGGCCGAGATGAAATTAGCCACCGCCTAAAGATTTTGCCCTAACTATTAAATGACTGGCCGTGAAAAAAAAATTCTCCGTCGCCATAGAATAATTTTCCATCAACAACAGATAATTTGAGATATGAGCATAAGGAGGTGGAGGATGAGATTGAGACGCCATAGAATAGCTCGTCGGCGGAGAGGATATCTTGTTGCAGACATTGATCGGATTTCGAAGGGCGGGGATTTGGATCCGACAGCGGACATTCAAGAATTTCGATTGTCGACGCCGATAATCGCAGCCGTGCTCGAGGCTTCGGTTGTCAGTGGTCGCAGTCGTGCCCCATGGCACCTGATTTTATAGAGGATTACATTTGTAAATTAGACAAAAGTTAAGGACTTGACTACATTTGTAGATATTTTATATAGGGTAAATAATTATTTGCAACCTGTACTAATCGCGTTTTTGGATTTTTCAACCTAAAGAATATTTTGTACTAAATTGCAACCTTTAGTACACGGGTTTGCCACTATCGCAACCTCCATCCATCGGCGGCTCGTTTTCCACCGGAAAAGCGAGCGTGCGACGCACACGCACGAATCTTGAGGGTAGATTTGTCATTTTGCATTACATTTGAAGGACAAATTTGTCAGTTTATTCTCTTAGCATCTCAGATTTATAAGAAAATAAAAAATGACGAAGATTTGTTCATTTTTCTTCTTCCGCTCGAAATCGAAAATGGCTTGGAGACAAGAGGCGATGGGTCAACTATGTCAATGGGGAAAAAAATGTTCTTACGAAAACATCGTGGAGTGTTCAAAATCCAGGAAGGAGATACGCTACTTGTGCAAAAAATCGGGTAAGGGATTAATTAGATTAACCCTAATTAATGAATTTGGGCAATTTCAGTGAACCCTAATTCCAAAAATTGGGCGAATTCAATAAACCCTAGTTTTGCTTAAATTAATTTGTTTCTTTAATTGAATTTTGTAGGATGATGGTGGTTGTCCTTATTTTTCGTGGATTGAACCACCTTTGTGCCCTAGAGCTTGTGAAATCATTCCCGGCCTTTTGAGATGTGCCAACAAATTCGAAAG